ATATTCTGGTCTGTACCGGCAGCCGGTGTAAGATTCTTACAGTTTGAATCGACCTCGTTAAGTAAAACGTCACATTGCCAAATTTAGAGATTGTCAGCTTCTACGGATAACGATAGCCGGAGACGGACAACTGGTAAAATATTCGGGGGTTATCTCAAAATATTTATTATCAAATTAAACATTTTTATGAGTAGTAAGATCAGTACAAAAATATACAGTTTTTAGAAGAGCATTCTTTTTATGTATCCATACATTAGATCTGCAACGGTTAATCTATGCTATAGTGTGTTCAACTCATACATAGTATTTTACTATTCTGTTCTTGTGTTCTATTCATAGGGCTATTGACTTCATGAGAAGTTCCATCAATTGCTATCACGGCTATTGGAATTCTGTTCCAGGTGCCTCTCATGGCTAACCACTCACGACCTGGTGGTCAAACAACAAATGTTTTAGACGAAGATAGAAAATCGGGATAAGCAACCTTATTTCCATAGCAAAGTCGCACTTTGCACTGATATGTTGAACAACCTCAACAACATCATAATCTTCTGGTATGTTCGAAACTACATAAGCACAAGAAGAACTCTGTTTCTTGCAAAAAGTTTATGAGGCTTGTGTGATGAAATACGAAGAGTTTTCTAACAGATCTGAAATGCCTCGGCGGTTTTCCAGTTCAATTGAAAGAACCTATTGGAAAATATAAAAGAATGAAAGAAAACACATTTCTGCCACTATAAATGTTTTTAACGATTCCAAAAAGTCTTTAACTTATATTTATTATCAGGTAAGGCTCTTGTCGAATGAGTTTTAAAACATGCAAATAAGTCAAAAGTAATAGGTGATGTCGGGGGAGCCTTAACAAAAACCGGTGGAAAGTTACTAATTGTTTTGATTGATTCATTGTCCATTGTTACCCAAAATAAAAGAAATGTATGCCTTGTTTTTTGTAACATTTATTTTGATGTAAAATAAAAAGTTGTGTTGAAATACGTTATCCATATTTCATAAACTACTACATGTTTTATCTTTTTGTACCGTAATAGCATAATTTTTCATTCATATTAAACTTTCTTTCCCGCACAGAATTCACGTGGGCAATGTTACACAAATGTTTTTCTATAATATATATCCAATGTAAAATGTAAAGGTAAAACAAAATCAACAGACACAAAAACATAAAATTTGTAGTTGTAGCACTATAATTCATATTCTGCTTCTCTGGTCGGTTTACCCTTTTACTTTTTGTTATCTTAGTACATACAAATCATGCGAAATAAACAACTTTTAATATCATGCTTTACGTTTCGGTTAGCTTGTAGAGGAGTGGCAATAAATATCATTGCGCGCAATCTTCGGAATGCGGGGTCGACACGAGAGAACACGAGGTCAGTCATAACACCAGAATAATCGACCAGGAACAACATTTGAGGGAAAGCATTTCAAATGGACTTTCATCGTCACAAGGGGATGATGACCTTACAACCCAAGACACACAGAGACGGAGAAGAAGAAAGAGTCCGCTTACTGACATTATTAGGGAAAAACAATTAATATACAACGATTTAATGAAAAACAAAGTTCCAAGTTGATCCGCCAGCTTGGTGTCGAGAAATCTTCTGATGAAACAAATTAAATATTCAGAAAACACTTCTGAACGGTTTTTTAATAGGAATGAATGCAATCATTACATTCGGCTTATCAAAAAAATATTTGAAACGCCCCCTTAAAATAGCCGTCTCCGTCTTGGTATGTCGGTATCGGCTCAAGCTAAAAATCTCTATTTGGAGATTATTTTTTACAAAACAAAATAGGAATATATACTAGTATCACTACTATGAGAGTTGAAATTACATCGCGACTGTCGTGTTAAAGTGTTATAGGTGCGTAATCCATTTTACTAAAACCATTTTATCTAAACTTTATAGAACGGATGTATACCAAGCTAAGTTGTGCGTATCATCTTCGGTTTTTGGTTCAGTGCTTTTTGTTATAGTCATGGTCCTTTAATGATTTCTTTTAATTTGTCTGGACAACTTTTCTTATCATGGGAGAGGAACTGTTACACGAAGAATGGAATTCTTTTGATAACATGAGGAGTTATTATGATAACTGGGACGGGGTTTCTGCATATTGTTTCGGTTTTCGTCGTAAAATTTCATTGTATACTGGAAAAGCACACGTAATAAAATAGTATTATTTATCTTTAAATGGGGAGTTTAGGTGCTTAATTAAACTTTGATGATTAAGTTTGCCTTACAAATTGTATTTTGTGTCAGAAATAGCTCAAAAGTCCATTTTTCGTCACCTCTTGTTTAAAATCTGATAGTTTTGAGCAAAAATTCAAAATTACTGCTGGCTCATTCGTACATATTGGCCGCTTAATTTGTGATCTTCTTTCTACCTAATTATAATGGAAAGTTGCAAAAGTAAAGCCCAGGCTAATAGATTTATTATAAATTTTTCAAAAGGCACGAGATCCTCAGATAAATCTGAAGATGTCCTAGAGTTCTTATGATAAATTTTGTTACTGCAAGTCTGATTTTGTGCTAAGTTACGGCACGTTTTGGCGTATTTTAGAGATCGCCAGAAAATATCTGATATTTTTGATGACATGGAGATTTCACGGCGTACTCATGTCGTCCTCACGGTGATCATGTCATTGCTCCGGAGCTTCCACGGCGTTATAATGCGTTTTTATGGCGTTTTAATTGGCGATTGTCTGCGTTCGGACTGTGCTTCTACTGTATTCTTTGCGCTTCCACAGCGCTTTCATGGCGCTCACATGACGCTCTCACGGCGCTCACACTGCGCTGAAATCGTGCTTCATATACCAGCGATTACTCATTCTGAATAGTCGTGTACCTGCTGCACCTGCGGGCAAGCAAGCCATATTCCAGCTTGCTGCCGTTCATCACCCATAATTAAAAGGACATTCACTTGCAAACAGGTTTCATATTTACGGTAAAAACCCTCTATTAAGACCATCAAAGGGATTGGACTAAGGTGGTCTTCATTGCGGATGGTCTTAATTGTGGCTTGATTATCAAGGTATATATATTTCATGGCCACTCTATTTTTGAATATTTTTGCATAAACATTATAACTTCCAAATATAACTTTAAACTGATCTTATAATATTAAATCCTAATTACAACGTAAGTCTGAAGATATTTAAGATCAAAGATTAAATTTTCATAGGTCTTGTTTTATGCTCATAATTCAAATATAAATTAAGAAATTAGTTCTTTACAAAATAAATGTGCAGAAAGTATTATTAAACCACTCTGAAGTTTATTTTTTCACCTTTATACAATTTTCCAATCATAACAGTTTTAACACCTTATGTCATCAAGCGTCATGCTTTAGTAGAGAATTCAAGCAAATTAATTACGACAAATTTATGATCTGAAAAGGTATTGACTGAAATAGCAGTGGTCTCTAATGTCTGGTTAGATAAATAAAACAATGCATTGGGACTGAAATTCGTGGTCTTTAAAGTAGATAAGTGGGTGGTCTTAATTGTGGATCATGCTACCATTAATATAAAGAACAGAAAATAAATGTGACTTAAAAGGTTATGTACACAGCATGACGCCGTCGTTCGGCGTTCTATGCAATGCCACTGCAATGCTAAGGCGATGTTTGCGATCGGTTTTTTTCTTTGGACGCCATGAGAACGCCGAATCAATGGAAAAACTGTACTGCTATTATATGCAATACAAATTTCAAATGGTCAAACTGTACTGAGTACAATTGGTTAGTAAGAACAAAGAAAAAAATCGAAACCATGCGATAAACTTGTATAGTATTTCACATGAAAAAAAAAACTTATTCAGTAGTGGCTATTTTACATATTTTGACTTTTTTTGTAATTTACGTTGATTTTAACAGCCATATGCAATGTGTAAATTATTTTCTCTGTTTACTTCACATTATTTTACTTTTAAATACATTTTCACAATCATTATGAAAATTAGCATGGATTCAATATTATATTTTATGGCGGTCATTCAACACGTTTATACATGTGGCTGCAACTTAGTCCATTTAGCCAGAATCACTCAATTTTCAGACAGTATGTAATAGTTAAAGTATATAAAAAGAGTTAGTTACGAGGATATAACACTGACTGGGGTGACATCGAGTGATGTTTCTGCTAACAAATGGCGAGGCCGTAAGGCCGAGACGCATTTTTTTCCCCGAGATGTCGCCCAGGCAGTGTTATACCCCAGTTACCTACGAGTTTCACATATAATACCTGTTTTATAGCAATTTCATATTTAAAAAAAATAAGTAAATAAATAAATCAAATAAAATTTAAAAAAAATACACTTCTCATTCATGTACCTTTTCACTTCTGTTTCAAATGGAATCCCATGATAAAATGAACCAATACCAGCTTATGCTGTCGTCAACTACTTTACAGTTATATATATTATTATATAATCAGGCAATTGTTTGAAGATACTTTCGCTGTCGCCAAAAATAGTAGAATAAACAACATATACAACCCTTGAAAATTTAGTGACGTCCAATGTTAGAGACGGCTTGTAAACTGTTAATTTGTGGATAAAGTAGTTATGATTCAAGATTTTAAGGACTTTTTCAGTGGTAATAATTTATTCAGCGGATTAATCTTTTAATTTTATCCGTCGAAAAGATGAAAATAGTTTCATTTCATTAATTATCTTTGGTTATATTTATCATTATTGTTATAATTTTTTGTTATTTTTTTACTTTCGTTTGCTTCTGAGAATATCCGGTACCCCTTACTCATTGGATCGTCTGTTACATACCTACACTGATATAAACAAGGTGCAAAAAGACTCAATTTTTATATGTTAGTTGAGTTTTTTAAAAAAAAAATTGCCTATATGAATCAATGAAAAAACTGTACTGTTATACATCAATACAGTTTTCGAATGCTCATTGAAAGTGTACTGACTATAAAGGGTTAGTAAGAACAAAGAAAAAGTCCCAAACCATGCGATAATTACCTGATATTCATCCATTTCCAGCTTCTTTGAACAATTAATGATGTCGTATACTCAGAGTTACCTGTGACTAAAACAGTTTAACAGCAGTTAAAGAACACGACACAAATATTTCGGTGTTTTCCTTAATTTCATATAAAGCAGGACTGAATTTCAACAACTTTAAGTGTCTTACAAAAACACATTACAATTGACTCTACTTATATCCTCTTAGTTTCAGTGTCTTATGATACAATGATAGCCACATGATGTGATATCTTCCTTATTCTATTTATATTGAAATGTTTTTTTTCTGATTCATATAACAGTCGCGACATGTATTGTTTAATTGTTTTAAGTAAGTAGGCATTGAGCGTGTTTCCTGTTGCAAGTGTCATTTGAATATTTCAACTCTTTTCTTATGGTTTGAGCGAGTGTTTTGTAAGCAGTTAAAAGTTAATTGTTACCCGAACAAGTTTATCAGCGCCGTTGTTACATAAAAGATGAGTATAACTGCGGAATAACGTCATTATTGTGGTGGAAATTTGTATTATTTTAGTACAGTAATTGTCTTTGAATCGAGAAATATGCTTTTAAGGTATATATTTTTAAGGAAATATAAGGAATCAAAAATTCATATTTAGGCCACACAAAAAATCGGCAAAGCTATGTTAACAACACTATGCGTGATATATTCTGAATGATATAGGTATAAGTTTGTGGTAATTGAAGCTTCTTCCATTTGATCCTTTTCAACTTGGGTGCTTCCAGTATTCCTACTTGAATATTGTATGATTACTTTTAAGATATGGGGCCTGCTTTTTAAGTTTGTCTTTTGACCTCTTATCTGTGATATGCAGGCTTTATAACCTTTGTCCCCCTTTCATTAAATTAAGTTCCGCCTGTTGTTTTCTAGGTTAGGGCACATAAGCATAAACTGTAACAACGATTTGTGTATATCTTAATATAACAACTAAAAATATTGACAAAATAAAATACACTTAATATCTTAACGTTAAAAACGGTAGCTTAGTATGCGAGGTAGCAGGTTTGATTCTTCCGTTGTTTAACATCTTTTATATCTACGCGTCTGTATTTTCGTGGGTATGAGGACAATGTCGCTGACGAAACCGATATAAATAAAAAAAATAACAAAAAGCAATAAGGTTTAAACAAACCATTCATTTACATACACAATAGAATAAATTTTAACAGCTACTTTCAATATAAAAATACGTTTACATACCTTCAAGTTCTAAGGCAGAGCTAGCACTTTTCTCCGAAGGGTATTTTCGTGGGTCATATTTGATTACTGATCAAACAGTTTTTAAGAAACAAATCCATACTTTTGAACATTAAATCCATTTTAAAACAATTAACGCTATTATTCATGTGCGTTAAAAATGAGCGAGAGGTAACCTGTGACATAAAAATTCAAACGGAGAGAGGTAGCCCGTACCGCTGCAAAACCGAAAGTAGGATGTTTTTATGTATTTTACATTCATTTTTGACTAATTACTGCAGTTTGTCAAAAGATGATAAATATATGAACACATGTAACATGATGGTGCGTATAAAATCAAGTAACTCGTTCATTTCAGCCCGAAAATATATATCAAGGCGGTAGCGAGGCGTGACATATCGATTTTATGAAGCTTATTTTGAACTTGCAGCAATTGAAAAATTGGCACATGACAAAACAACACATAAATAAAACATTCTAGTGTTCCGTGGTACACTACTATACCACATGACATACCTCTATTCATCAGTAGAAGGAAAATAAGTTGTATAAGTATCCATCGCTGGTTTGTTTTCAGCAAAGAATAAAACATAACATAAATAAAACATTCTAGTGTTCCGTGGTACACTACTTAACCACATGACATACCTCTATTCATCAGTAGAAGGAAAATAAGTTGTATAAGTATCCATCGCTGGTTTGTTTTCAGCAAAGAATGGCCTGTGCATATGCGAAGAGGGTACCGTTTCAGTAGATTTCGCAAAGAGGGTACCGATATGGATATGCACCGTGACTTACAGTTAACTAGTTACATTTGGAAGTCTCACATAACTATTATTTTTTATAACTGGGGTATAGGAAAGTGTCCTCAAGTCTCAAAACTCTAACTCCCGAGCAAAGTGTCAAGCATACCCATCGAACACATCACATCTACCCCAGTTCACAATACATGTAGTTAGATATGGGTACTTTATCCCATTTTGTGGGTAGAAGTGGAAACAAACAATGCATATGTCAGACTCTGGTATTTCACTAGTATCAAGTTCATAAGATTTTGACAGACCCTAATACCTATTAAGACCAGAAAAACCAGGGAAAGGCGACGTTATTTCTTACTTTTGATCTTGTTTTTAGGGGGAAATTTTATATAGAAAGTTTGGCTTGCCTTTTCTGACTGGACATGTTCTTTTACAGCTTTTAAAATTTCAGGTTCTGTAATGGCTTTCGCACCAACAACCTTTCAGTGTGTTTTTCTTGCTTTACCAGTTTTTAAATTTTTTATGATCTGCCCCCTCTATTTTATAAGAATGTTTCTGCTGACAACGACTGTTAAGTGGAACATTTCTTGTTCACATGTTGAGCAACAGTAGTCGTAGAGGCAGTTGACTCTTGTGCAATGACATTAGGATTAAAAAGAATACCCCTGATTTGTTAAAAGCAATCTGGATATATGCAGGATTTATGGGAGACTCATTCATTTTGCAGGCAATTCTTCAATCATCAAATCTTGTAAGCACCCTACTTCAAGACTCTCTTGAGCTTGACAAACAGAGTTCCAAGCCGTTTCCAAAGGCCCAAAGCAGCTTATATCCAGGGATTGTGAAATTTTGCTGTAAGGGTAAAATAGAGAAAATAAGAATCCCTAAAGAAAGCCCAACACGGCTAAATTGAATATGTTATAGCTCGCTTCGATTGAGCCTGTCCATGGACGGTACTGTCAAGTGCAAACTACCGTCCACGCCCCCTAGCACCGACTTAAGTAGAATTCAATATTAACATGAACTGGTACAATTTTGAATTTTGAAACATCCGCAGATGTGTTCATATGGCGGTTATCATGGAACTTTCAATGTGACACGTAAATGCCATTCCATGAAAAGCGGCATATGGTCCCCAAGTAAACAAATTCGTGTGCCCTTAAAGAGAAAACAATGGGCGGAACTAAATAAAATGAAATTTTGAAAGGGGATCAGAGGTTATAAAGCCTGCATATCACAGATAATACGTCAAAAGACAAATTTAAAAAGCAGGCCATGTATCCTAAGGGTGATTCAACAGTATTCTATGGAGGGCGATCGTTGCCAAAATTCCAGACATGTAATGTATTCCTTTTGAAAACTACTTTTGAAAATGCGAACATGTATGTCTAGCATTTTTGATTGCTTCCCTGCACAAACAATATTGCCTCTTAATCCAAAACTTTTAATTAAGGAGCCCCCTTTTTTAAATAACAATTTTTAATCTAAAACTGACCAACAAAACATTTAACAATTTTTTTATAAACCCTTTTCAGGAATAAGATAAAAAAGGGGTTTTTGAATTGGTAATTATTGAATTTTAAAAAGCAATTGGGTAAAAAGGGAAAAAAATTGGGGGGATTATTTAAAAATTAATTTTAAAAGATTGAAACTCAAAAAATTCCGGGTTCAAAACAAAATTTCAAAACGGAACAAACAAAATTTTTAAAAGTTCATTTTAAAAAAATTTTTTTCAAAAATCCCGGGTGGGGGAAAAACCCAAAAAATATTTGTTAAACTGCATTTTAAAAAATTTTTAAATTTTTTTTAGCCCCTTTTTTTGGAATTTGAAGGTAAAAAAAACCTTAGGGAAATGTGTTTTAGTTATTCCCCAAATATATAAAACTTTTTTCCGCGGGGGAAAAAAATCTTAAAAAAAGTCTACCCCCAATTTTGGGTTCCCGGGTTTAAACAAAAAGGAAAAACAAAGTACAAAAAAGGGGAAACAAGGGCCCCATTTTCGAAATTTTTTTTGGCATTTTTTCTAGGGTTTAATTGGGCCAAAAATTTAAAATAAAGCTAGAGACAAAAAATTGGGTACTTTATTTTTTTATTGCGTTTTTTTTACCAAAGATTTTAAATTTTTTTTGGGTAAAAATTTGGGCAAAAATTTTTGGGGAATTTCGCAGATACCCCTTGCTTTTTCGGGTACCCACGGGCCCCTTTGGGCATATAATACATAAGAATTTTAAACACACTTGTAATATATATTTCCCTAAAAAACACAAATGAAATGTAAAAACTAAAAATGCAGAAAATAAAAATTTTATTAAAACGGGGTTTTCCAGCGTAAAACTAAAAACAGAAACATTTACACAGTTACACGTTTAAAATGACAAAAGTAGATTCACAAAAGTTAAACGATTTTTTTAAGTCATGCATGACGCCCCGCCCCTCTCTGAGTACTTACGATCTTCTATCACGGAAATGCACGGACAGGTATAATTCCCGTCGCCTCTCTCCTATTTCTCAATAAAGTGAAGGAAAACACGGCGTCCATTCTAAAACATTTACGTCATATCTGTAGATTGTTTAATAGATAATTTTGGATTGAGATAAAAGTGTGATTAATACGATTTATGATATATAATTATATAATACCTCAAAATAAAAAGGAATTAAATCAAAATGAATTAACTTTCTGTTAAAAAGTTTATCATGTTACTTTCTGTAAAATAGAGAAAATAAGAATCCCTAAAGAACGCTCAAAACGACAAAATTGAGAATGTTGCAGGCCGGTTTGATTGAGCCTGCTCATGGACGGTAATGGAAAGAGCAAGTTTTCGTCCACGTCCCCCTAGCACCGGCTTTTAAGCAAAAATTCAACATGTAACAACTGGTACAATTTGGAAATTTTGAAACATCCGCAGATGTGTTAATATGGTGATTATCATGGAAACTTCAATGTGACACGTAAGTGCCATACCATGAATGAAAAACGGCATATGATCCCAAGTAGAAGAAAAACAAAAACACACTCTGAAATTCAGTAAGAGAAACATGGCGCCCCCTACTTACTTTTTTATTTTCTTGGTCAATTTTGATAATTTTAGAATATGAAAAACAAAGATTATCAAGGAAAGGCAGCGTTTGATAATTTTAGACTCAAGTAAAAAATCCTGGAAACAAAGTGATCCCTCGAAGCATTAATCACAACGAAATTACATAAGAATTGCAGACTCGGTTTGATTGAGTCTGTACATGAGAGATAATGAATAAGGTGCAACATCCCCTCACGCCCCCTAGCACCGGACTTGAGCGGTACTCAATTGTCAACACACTTAATAGTGCTTAAGAATCCTTAATGAAACTTTCTAGTGATGCCTTAAAAATGAAAATTAATTACGTAGAAGTAATAACAATTTTGTTTCTTACTTATCGTTGTTTTTTTCTCTCTCTTAAATCCACACTCATTATATTCGAAAAAAATAACGTCGCTTCCTTTAGCATACTTTATTCAAAAAGGAAAATAAATATTAAATGAAGTTAAGACCATAAGTTTTGAACAAGTATATTAAAAATCTTGAAACAAGTTGATCTCTCGGATAGCCATTATCACAACAAAATTACATAAGAATTGCAGATTCGTTTTGATTGAGTCTGCACATGAGGGATAATGAACAAGTGTAACATGCCTCAACGCCCCTAGCACAGCTTGAACGGTACTCCAATTTCTCAACACTTTAATAGCGCTGGCATCAATGATCCCGAAAGACCAGAAAAAATATAACATCACTGAAGTGAAGTACGGGGCAACTTTTCACAGCTGCCCTCACGGCACTTGAAACCTGCTGTTGTGAAGTATAAAATTCTGGAAACAAAGTGATCCCTCGGAAGCATTAATCACTACAAAATTACATAAGAATTGCAGACTCGGTTTGATTGAGTCTGTACATGAGGGATAATGAACAAGTACAAAAAGTTTTTATTCATACTGAAAATACCTTATTAAAGATTGTACATATGTGCTACGGATAAGTATTTTCTTGATTTCGGAAAGGAAATCTCGGTGGCCCGCTTTAAAATATATACTTGCACAGTTTTTTGTTGAAAATGAAATTTGTGCCCAATACATTTTTCAATGATACCAATAAGAATATTGGGTGGTTTTTTTTTACATTATTAATAAAAATACTCCCTTGAAGTTGGTCATTGTTTCCCTAAAAATTTTCCCAATCGCCGATGTTTCTCGGAATATATGATAAAAAAGATCAACAAGGAAAGGCGGCGCTCAAATGAACGCAACCCCACATGACAAGAACAAGAACACAAGAACAAGTGGCAATAAGCCAATGCGACCCAAGCAAAACACAGGACAGGGCACTAGGCAGAGCACGGACAGACTAATCACTAAAATGATAAATAATTTGTAACTGATAAGAACACGATGTTAAAAAATAAGGTAATGCCATAAGTTATCTTCATCATAAATGGTTTAAAATCAGCAAATTTTCAAGTGATGTTGCTACTGTTGAAAAAACTTTTGTAAAAAAAATGTAACATATATATTTTATGAACAATGGAAAATGCCGTTGTTGTCCTTCAGTTTTATTTAAAATATGGGAGAGGGCGCCGTTTATACCTGTCCGCATAGAAAGTTCGTAAATACTCCGAGAGGGGCGGTATAGCGTTATGCTTGACTTTAAAATCGCTTAACTTTTGTGAATCTTACTTTTGTCATTTTTAAAACCATGTTACTGTGTTAACGTACTCTTGTAGTTCTACAACCTGGTTATCCACGTTTTCTTAAAACTCTATTTTCCGTATTTCGAGTTTTACGTTTCATTTGTATATTTCAGATCTATTAAGTGTGCAAAAATGGCATATGTTATTGCATGCAATGGAAGATACGAACTTGTAAATTTGTTGTTTGGTTTTAGTAATGGTTAGGTCGTTGTTTACCGAATAATATAATAGTGTAAAACTTGTTATAAATAAAAAGGCCCGGTAAACCTTCCCCAAAAAAAAGAAATTGAATAAAGTGAGGTTTTACAATAAAAAAATGGTGAAGGGCATACAAGTTCGCATTTTTCAAAAGTTCATTTTAAAAAGAACACTTTCAATTGTCTGGAATTTTGGAAACGAACGGTCCAGAATAAGGTATTCCCAAGTGAGGAAGACTGGTCTCGGGGGAACCACCTAAAAAGAAAATAGGCCGCATAGGAAAAAATAAATTTTACCACAAGCCACAACAAAATGTCGTGCTGAAACGATCTTTAAACTAAACAACACAACTTATGAGCTGGGAATGTCCTATTCAATTTTAAAGGAATTGGTAACATTTAAATTTTGTTTTCCCATTTATAAAAAGTTTGTCCCGAAACAAAGTTGGAAAAAGAGTCAAAAAGCCCTTTTCCCAAAAACCCTTTAGTAAAGGCCCTTTCCTGTACTTGGGGTCGAAATTCTCGGTAGAAACCAAAACCCCGTAAAAGGGAAAACCCCTGAAAACCGGAATCCTCTGAAAACCGGACCATTTTAAAAGACCCGTATTTTCTCCTATATGTTCATTGAAAAAAATCATCTGAATACCGGAACCCCTAATTTCCGAAAACCTGACGATTTTCTATGGTTTCTAATGCTAAACATGCACACAAAAAATCCTCCGAAAACCGGACAGCAATTTTAAGTGTCAACTTTCTGTGTATTTTATTGAAGAATAAAACATAATCTCAACTGGTGACATGTTCAGTTACCAATAAATGATCACCTCCTTTTTATCTATGCCTGTGTGAAAACACTTGTCAGTGTGTGGCAATTAAATTTAAGCTCTTTCATCATAATTTAGGTATGATTTTTCATTTTTTAATATGGAATGTCTAAAAGAATTAGGAAACTTTTCTTAAATAATTCCTGTTAATTACTTAAAATTTTGACCTTGAAGTTTTCTTTGTTTGGATATTAGTTATATGCAAAAATAGTAATACTAAATTCCATTAATTACATATTTCAAACTATATATTTCAGACAATGTGTTGTTTTAATTTAATTTCTGATTTTCAGAATTATATTCATGGATTTGCATAATGAAATTACGTAAGACATTTATTGCAGAAAGAAATATATGTATATTATTGGTGTCCGAACTCTAGGACCACTTTCGATATCCAGAGTTAAAACTGTGATTACGTATTTACTTAACATTAGGGAGGGGGTCAGGATTAATTTGAAGGTGGACTATACCTAGTCCTTTGGCATGTGGGCTGCTGATAATGCGCTTCTCCTTGACAGGGCTTGGTCCTTACACGCGAAGTCTCTTGCCCACGCTTTAGCATACTTGTCCACTTATTTAATAACATATTCACGCGTTTGGCATTGTACTTTGTTTCTTTATTACAGCAATTTCTTTTCATATTTTGTATAATGTCTCTTAATTCAAGAATTTGATATGCAAGTGCAATGTGTTTTTATAAACAGTCTGAGACTGTCATCGAAAAGAAATTGCCATCCTTTTCACAAAATACCAATGATAATCACATATCATTGTATAAATATCTACTTCATATGATTAAAGTGGACTTGAGTTGATATTCGCCTTGTAGTTTTCTAACAAAGGGACCGGATAACAATATTTAAACACTGATTTATCGTATGCCAATGTTACAAACTGATCAGAATTGGCATGTTTTCTTTTATTGTCCTCCTGTATAATCAACTAGTAGTCTAAATTACGTCACAATGTCCAGTAAATTATATAAATGTAGTTGGTTTTCTTATAGTGATCTTTTTCTGATAAAATATGTCTTTTTTATTAAAGAAATACACAAATCCGTATCTGTATTGTATTTATCGACTAGCCTGTGTTAAGTATCTAAACATAATGACAGACTACGTGTGTATTGAGCGTGTCTATTTTTTATTTTAGATTTGTCAGAAATGTTATAACATCCATGCACTAAATGCATCAAAGTTGCAAATGAAATTTTAAGATAAAAATAACTGAATAAAATGCAGATCATTTTGAAATAAAATGTAAAATCTTTTCACACATTTAATTAGTCAAAGTCATGGTGATAATGCTACCTTTTCTTTTCAACCGCGCTTAATAACAGCATATGTATTAAAAACCAGGCAACAACATTTCAATACACAATCGCTTTATCTACAAAAGAAAAAAAAAACGTTTTGTTCAGATTTTTTTTGCAGGTATATAATTACAGAAGATAATACACGTATGTATACACGCCCTACAGGCTCGTTAAATACAACTTTACACATACAAGTCAATCATAGTAAAGGTTGAAAGTCCTTAATAGTCCATCTATGTACAAATATCTATTTTTAATCCCGATTAAATAATGATTATTAAACCCCTATATAATGTCTCTTTGTAATGAAACATAACAAAATCAAATATTACAAAGAATAAGTTAACTCAAGATTCACTTCAATCGTTTGTTTGCAACATTGTGAATTGAGTGTCTTTAGTCTTAAAATGACTAAAATTTTATTTAAACAACATATATAGGACAACAAAACATAGTCAAGAAAAAAACGCTACTGTATGTACTTCACTTAATTTACCTAAAAACAGAAGGAAACAATATAAGCTTGAAATTAAATAGCTTGATGAATCTGAAATATATTATGGGTTAAGAAATTTCACAGAATTTATGGAAGAACGATTGTGTGATGCTTTGTGTCTCCGTTTCCATATCTACTTCCGAAGATTCGATTTCCTTCTTTTTGATATCGTTCATCTGACTTTTTACTATTTCTTGTCCGTCCTCTGCTTTGTTGCTTTTTTCTTTTTCATGATTTGTAGCGCTTTTTGATGTTCCTTCTTCTTCTTCTTCTATAGGTTTATATTCATGTGTATCAAATGTGCTAGTTTTTCTGAAACATCTATTGATTTGCTCACTTTCAGTAGACTGGTCGGATGAGTTTTGTTTCCGTCTGGGTTTGTAGTCGTCTATGTTTTCATCAGATTCCTTCATGTATAAGCTTGTTTTGATAGAAGATCCCGTTGGACTGTTAAGTTTGAAACGCTGCTTGGTATCTTTCTCTTGTGTAGCAATGTAACTTTGACTTTGGTCATCTTTATCCTGAAATGTACATGTATTTTCAGTGTTTGTTTAAAAAATGAAATCATCTTATTGAACAATGAAGTTGCCAACATATTTCTTCAATGAGTCATGTTTTATCAGGTTAGGCGGTAAGATAATAATAAGTATCAATTTACCACTAAGTGGTTCATTATTGAGCAATGCAATGATTCATGTAATATCTAATGTAATAAACTGAACTTATTGATAGTAGTATTATAGAAACAAGGGAACGTCAACTTGAAAAACATCACATTAACTCTGTCTTATTTCATGCACGTCAGACAAGCTTTTCTTCCATCGCAACACCCATTTAGCATGTAAGAAAAGTGTCGGACTTTTAAAAGTTGTTACTGCGCATATTATAACTGAATTACTTGCTTAGGATGGCGACATTTTGCAGCCATGAATAAAGTTGTAAACTCATACACTTCCGTACGAAAAGTAAGTAGGCAAAAATTAATGAAATAACGTTACAGACGAGTATAGCAAGATTTCGGACTTTAGTGGTTATTTGGTAGATCATCATTTACGCTCGTACAAGATATTCTGGTCTGTACCGGCAACTAGTGTGAGATTATTCGAAACAATTAGCAATTCTTATTCTTCAAAACTAGTTAATTTTATATAAGTGAGCAAGTTACTGTGGGAATTGCTGATCTCAAAGTATACACACACATATGTATTCTTAAACAAGACATACTTCCATGTGTTCAAATAACGGTATCCCGTTAAAGTTTATGAACATAAACGTTTCTGAAGTGGTAGAATCGTATTCCGGATTCCTTTCTTTCAGATATTTTAGGAGTTTTGGTCGTGCAATGTTTCCATAAAAAGTTAATTCTTCAAATGTTTCTTTTCTTAGACAAAGATTAATCCTTTCATCATTTATAACAAACATCGTTCCTTTTTCTTTGATTACTTCTTGAGCTTCACAAAATCCTGCTTGTGTGACCGACCATACTGTTCTTTCCGCAACCTGACATTCGTTTGCTATACATGCTATAACAAAATTCATGTACATGTCATAGTCATTTTGACGAATTGGCATGAATTCTAAATGTAGATTTTGTTTTGCATTTTCAATGATATATTTTTCATATTTTTCTGTTATACGCCGTTTAGGCTGCTGAGTTTGTGACTGATCTTTCTTTCGTTTTTTATTTTGCTCTCTATAGGATTCGTTTGATTGAACCGAAGTTAGCGTTTCCTGACGATCGGATATTTCATTTTTAGTATACAAAGAACAGTAGGGACAATGGGCTAATTGGAAACGTTTTGTTTCACTTGATCTGATATATAATTCCCTCCCGCAATTAGAGTTGCCTGGTTCTTCATCATTATGCAAGGCCATAAAATGCTGAAATGAAGAATTGCTGCTAATTGTTTGCTCAAATTTCCTCGGAACTACAGCAGCATAACGTTGTTCCTTTATTTTCATCGGCGGATTCCTTAAAGAAAAAAAAAGAGATAAAACTTTACTTCCAATTGATTATAAAATATAAAAACACATAAATGATTAATATTGTCTTAATTGTTTATAATTACTTTGCCTAAAATAAACGATAATATAACTGAACACTATTATCAATTTTGTTTGTTATGTCTGAACAAACGAAGATAATTGAATTTATTGAAATTACATTGAATGTCAACAGCACATGACTGAGATATTCTCAAGATGATAACATAAGTTCTGGTATTTAGAAACTGACATAATTAATGTCAACACCAAAGTTTTCAGTTCAAACCTATTAAAAAATTAAATTACATGACTGGACAGTTTTTGCGGTTCCGTCAACGATATGGAACAGCTGTGGATGTCATATATTTTAAAGAAAATGTTATGCTGAGTTATCGCGTTAATGGACATTTTTTGACAGTTTAAGAAGAGCTCTAGGATGTTATATTTGTGTAGCTTGATTATTAATTATTAATTATTAAGCTCAAAATTGGTAATTTTGAAAATCTAGCTGATTGTTGGTTGTCTAGCTCAACATTTGAAAATATTATCAAACAAAAGGGCCTTCTAGGCCCTGATCGCTCACCTGAGAAATAGGTCAAAAAGTCACAGTGGAGCCTCTTTTAACCCCAGGAGCACACTTTGAAAACAAGGGACAGCTTAATCTAAACAAGTTTTGTTCTGTCACTGTCAAAAAATGTGTGTGTAAAATTATTTCAAAATTAAACCTGTGGTTAAGATGTTGTTTGGATGTGTTTTCTAATTTTAGAGGGCAGCTAGATGACCTTACATACAAAATATTAAAGCACTAGGTCTTGTGATTTTTGAGGAAAAGAATTTTTAAGAGTTTCATAAATAACTATATATATATAACTTTATATTAAACTGATAGGCCCCCTGACAAAGCCCCTTTTGACCCTGGCCTAACATTCATTGTAGAGGACCACTAGATCATGTTTTTGACAAAAAAGAAATTAAGGTTTAAAAAAAATATTTCGGTTGCCGTGGCAACCAGAGTTCTTCAAGGAATTGAATTCTTTAAACAACTTTGCTAGAGCTTCATGCAAGTTTCAACAAATTTTTGAATGACGTCATATATTTCAAAGTGGTTTAGGAGAAGTTGTTTAAAGAAATTGTTGACGCACGGACGGACGCACGGACGGACGATGGACGACGGACAATGGGTCATCACAAAAGCCTACCTTGAGAGCATTGTCTTCAAGTGAGCTAAAAAATGAATAACATCTAATGATGAGATGAATGTATATTGTCTATCTTAACATAGAAATGTCCAGTTGACTGCTCATAATCTAGCTCGAAATTCGCTTTGAAACTATAATACAGTACATAATATCAAATATTGACACGAATGAAGATTGCCTACCATAAAAAAATGAGCAGAATTTTGATTAAGAAGCTCAGCATTAGTATTTTTGATTGTCTAGCTGATTGTTTAGCTCAGCATTTGGTTTAAAATTATATTCAAAAATAGATAACAATATCGAATTCTGAGCTAAATCTCGAATGTTTAGCTCATCATTGGTAATTTTTTAATGTCTAGCTGAATGTCGATTGTTGTTTTTTAAAATACAGTGTTTACCCATTACTGCAAGAGCATTTTATGAAAAATGGCTATTTTCATTAAAAAGGTCTCCCGTTACAAGTTCAAATTGCTATAAAACTATAAAAAAACTGCTTCAATATTAATTAAACTAGGCACGAATGTTAACTTGATTATTGCCTTTGTAACGACATGCTCAGTCTTTAATTTCTTGTTACCATGGCAACGAGGGGACATCTCAATTAGCTAAAAATCACTATTTTGGGTTGATTTTTTCCATCAAAATTGATTTCAAAGCGCTGCAACTTCTCAATGGATTGGGATAGAGTCCAAGGCTTTTGAGCGTTGATTACAATGTACCTTATAATCGATCTGGGGTCATTTTAGCCTCTCGCAAGTTCAAAATTTTCTTGGCGATTAGGGGGACTTCCGATCCCCCCTTTAAAACCCCAAACAGAAGGGGACACATCCCCCTTTTGGCAACCCTTTGATGTACATTTTGGAAAGGGGGCGGCGCCAAAAAAAGTGGTCACTTTTTTAAACAACAATTCTTAAACAAAAACAAGTGTTTGCGGCCTAAATAAGGCATTTTTTCACAACAAATAGAAGATGCTGAAAAGGCGTTAAAAGGCGTGTATATTGGGTAATTGGTTAACAAAAAATAATGAATTACCTGAAATTACCCAAAATCGCGTTTTCCATATAATTTTAAAGACAAATTGTTGTTTTGTAGAATTTTTATTTTTTTTCAGTAACAGAAAATAATGAAAGTACCTGAAATTACCCAAAATCGCGTTTTTCTATGTTAAAAATGACCGTACATATAATTTTGAAGAAAAATTATTGTTTGTAGATTTTTTTTTCATAAACTCCCGAATTTCGTATGTTGACTGGCATATTGACTGTCTAACTCAACTTCGGATATATTAAATGTCTAGCTGACTGTTGATTGTGTAGCTCAGCACTCGTTTTGAATTTATATTTAAATCATGTAAATCAAAATGATCCCAAATGTTGAGCAGAAAGTCGATATTTCAGGTCAACATTGGTAATATTCAATGTCAAGCTGATTGTTTATTGTTTATCTTAACACTCGTTTTGAAATTACTTAAGAAACTAAAAATATCGAATATTGAGCAATAATTGTCTATTGTGTAGCTTAACATTGGTAGTTGTGCATATCTAGCTGATTGATTGCCTAGCTCAACATTCGGTTTGAAATAACATTGTTAACAAACAAATATCAAACGTTGAGCTGAATGTCGAATGTCTCGCTAAACATTTGTGATTTTGAATGTCTTACAGCTAATTGTTGATTTTCTAGCTCAACATTCGTTTGGGAAATTCAGTGTTTACTAACTCACGAATATTAAATGTTCATGTAAATATTGATTGTTTAGCTCAACATAGAAAATTTGAATACTGACGAATATCAAGTATTGAAATGAATATTGTTTGTCTAGCCCAACATTGGAAATTTTGAATGTTAAGCTGTTTGGTGATTGTTTAACTTGAGTAGCTCAAGATTGATAGTTTTTAATGTCTAACTCTTTGTTGATTACATAGGTAAACATTCGTTTAAAAATTAAACATGTATTTAATACTAAAAATATCGAATGTTGAGCTAAAGCGCGATTGTTTAGCTCCACATTGATACTTTTTATAGTCTAGCTCAACATTCGTGTTATCTCACGAATATCGAACGTTGAGCTGAATATCGATTGTCTTGCTCAACATTGAAAATTCTGAATGTCTTGCTGATTGTTGAATGTGTAGCTGAACAATCGTTTTGAAATTATTTTAACCTTTTACTCTATGGATACTTATTTTAACTCACTTAAGTGTAAAAACTACAGTCACAAGGAATTCCATTTAAATATTTTTGAAAATTTTAAACAACTTAAAATGTCTCAATATTGAATAATTTTCAGTAAAACGGATTTAAACCACTTGATCATTACAGGAAGTATTACATTGAATAAAACACAAACAAAGATTTATTTGTATATTCTTATTAATGAATACAATGCAGCACAATACTGGAAATGATTATGTGATCAGATTATGTTGACAAAAATGTATAGAATGAATGGGATTAGATACCCTGTGCATTAAGACCTGTTAAGGTAGCTCGCTACTTTCCGACCGAAATTTGACAAAATCTCAGATCTTGATTATTTTTGGTAAGCAAACATGTAGATATGTATGCTTTACTTCCACACTTTTATATTTTAAATAAACATCGTTACTATGACGTCAAAGCGCCCTCTATCGGTGGCGGCGAAATTGCGTCTTTTTTATCAGTAAACCAGTCTATTCTTATCAATTTTGATCCGATTTCTTTCGTTTTAATTTCATAATGTTCAGTAATTGTATGTCTTTGTAATGATGTATTTCTTGAACTTTTGCTTAATAGTCTGCGATTCTACGTTATTTTTCCCTACGTTTTGACGTCCATATCTGATGCGAATATCGAATGGTAGCGCAATAAAGATAGTGAAATACAAAAATTCAACACTGTGAAATTTGCTATAATTTTTCGAGCATGTAGTGCGATAGTGAACTGAAATATTTTTGAGATAAAAATATAGGGTCAACGCGTAAGATATTTTGCTGTAACTGTTTTAAAATAAAATTAAGGGTGAGTAAAACGTTATATATATTTGTTGACGTCAATAGACGTTGAGCTTCAAAGAACTGACATTAACCAGCTTACCATTGTATTCATTTATTAATAATTATGATGTTTATTATTATGTTATGTATATGATGATGTACTATGTACAAATCAGAAATAAAGATCTGTTCTGTTCTGTTCTGTTCTATGATAGGTCTTCTTTGAAATATATAGATGTTCTTATTGAAATGTACATGTATGCGCAAGATTAGAATATTTAATTTTTAACCCAACTGTGACTTTTATTTTTGGTTTTCTAATTTATTAATTGAGGCTTGATTTGTATTGTTATTTCGGCAAAAAAAAATTGGCACTGCTTTAAATTTCATTACAGGAAAAAATAAAATGACAACTGGAAAAACAAGATTCGAACTTTACTTTTCGAATTTTTACTTCCCCGCAGCATATTTTTTGTGAAGAAAAAGCAAAAGCGTTGGTATGACGCCAACGCGACCCAAATCGGTAGCGGCGGAATTGCAACGTTTTTATCGATAAAACGGCCTTTTTTCAATTCTCATCCGATTTTCTCCTTTTAAATTTTATATTGTTCAGTAGATGTATGTCTTTACATTGATGCTTTCTTTTTACTTTGTTAAATGTATGCGATTCTGCAGCTCAATCCCACCGTTTTGACTTACAAATCTGTTGAAAATTTCGAAGAATTGTGAAATAAGTAAAACATCAACACGGTGAATTTTGCTATAATTTTTTTTTTGCATGTAGAGAAGTCGTGATGATACTTGTTTATTCAATGAAAATATAGGGTCAACGCGAAAGATATTTTACTATTACTGTTTGAATATAAAATAAAGAATGGGTAAAACGTAATGATTTTGGTGACGTCAAATATTTTTCTCAAAAAAAAATTTCAAGACTTTTTCGATAAGTAGCATAATTTCAGGAATGAAAAATGATCTTTTAGAAGTAAATATTATGTCAGCTGCCTGCATTTTAATGAACAATTTGAAATATTATACATGTACAGGGTAAGAGACGGTAAATCTTGCTAATCAAGTTGGAATTAATATCTGCTAAAAACAGCAACCAATGGATATAAATACCTCAAGAAACTGAAAGACAATTTAGAATATTAAAAGATTAAATTGAGAAGCCCGCCTAAGTGGAAAAAATACAAACATAAATCTTGAAAAGAATGTCAGGAAAAAGAATGAGAAGGCTGGCGCAGTCGCAGTGTCATCATGTTATGTGTATCTCGGTACTGCATAAACTTCTGTGTTATCATATGTAACAAGTTCGAATAATATAAATCAATTCATCCGTTCATTTCTCGATTTGAGGCGACATGTTGATTTATTGGAATATTTTTTACATATGTAAATCAGATTGCCTTGTACTGAAGAGGATCATGTAGGATCCTCAATTTGTGTGATTTTTTCCTGCACATACATGTAATAGGGTGCTATAGAGCCTATGAAAATAATCACTTTATTGTTTACATAAACACCTTATTGTGTGTGTGTTTTTTTCTGCTAAAAGCAAACTGTATACAAAAAACTGAAAACGATAGCGTCAGCATTATACACCATTCGTATTCAATGGTAACATGAGTTGCACAAGTTATTTAATAATTATATTTTGTATTAAATTGAAATATACAATATAACCTCTACAGAGAAATGCCCTTTGTTGCTTAGAGTGGTTGCTCTACAGAGGTAAAATGTAGTGGAAATCTTTAGATAAACAATAATATTTTGAGGCCCCCCTATGCTATTCTGTATTGAAAAATTGAACACAATAACTTCAACATTATACATCATTCGTATTCAATGGTAACATTAGTTGCACAAATTATTTAATATTTTGTATTTAATTGAAATATACAGTATAAATACTAGAGAGAAATGCCCTTTCGTCTTAGAGTTGTTGCTCTACAGAGGATATATGAAGTAGAAATCTTTAGATAAAAAATAATATTTTAAGGGTCGCTCTGTGTACATTATACTGTAGTGAAAATAGTCGGTATAAGTACACGTAAATCCGAGTAGCGTAATGGTTATATATAGTATTTTGTATTGCGAATATGCAAATATATTTTTTTAGAGTATTATTTTTGCTTCGTAAAGCTTCATTACTAAATTGATTGGTCTTCTTAACTTTCACATATAATTAAACCTCATTTATGATTGCTTTGCCTTATAAGATAATATAGCCTAAAAATCTAGCATCTCAAAATGCGACATCACTTTACCTGGTGACATTTCTAAACGGTGATACGGTATGATACCTGTGCTGAGTTTAAGTTATAAATTATTATTTTTAAGACGTCTTGTAATTGACTTTTAATTTGTTTGGTGTAATAAAAGTAACATTACATTCAAATAATGGTTATAGCACAAGGCAATGTCATTCTTACCGTTGCCAAGGTTGAAATGACTCTGGTGACTTTGGTGTGATATTTATATACTAATGCCGCCACAGACATGCATATTTCAATTTTATTAATTTGTTCTGAACCAAAAACCCATTAAAATATATTCAATATAGTTCAATATAATACTTATACCTTATAAATGTGTTAACCATAATTTTCTTCTAATCTGATACACATATTTTACATTTATTCTGATATAACTTATATATTTAGCAAAACAAATCAAACCTTTCGATAGAAAGTATTTGGTCTAAGGCTTCTTTTGAATCTATAGACGCAGAAACAGCATCTTTAATATGTCCAAAGGTTGCATTTGCCCTGCCTACATTGTCAAGCCATTTATTGAATACTTTAATGTAAGCGTGAATGACCCAACCCTCTGTATGATTTGCTTCTAGCTCTATTTCATCAACTGTATCATGAACGCTTCTAGCCATCTCCTGACAATTGCCTACAGACAAATGCAATAAATTTTGAGCATTTAGTATATTTCTGAACACTTTTAAAACGAAATACTCTTAGAAATTTCTATTATTTTCCCTGTATTAAGATATCTGAAAACTTATAGACAATCATCAACAAAGCAATCTAATTGTAGAACAAGGAAAATAATTGTTCATAAAGTGATTAACACGGATACATGTAATAAAGAATTAGATTATGCTAAAGCTGTTTTTTTTTTAAATAAACTTAATTTAAACTGACTTACTGAGTAATTGATATGCAAATAATTTCCAGCGTGTTGGAGAAAACGATCTTGATAGTTGTAAGAAAATTCTTGTCCAGTCTATTTCAAATTCAGGGGCAACTGAACATCAAAAATAAATCAAATTGAGTACAAATAAGGTAAATTTTAAAAATGTCACATCATATTATTTAAAAAAAAGAATAATAGACACTATCCAATAATGTTAAAAAATCACTGATGATTTTTTTTTAAAGTTTTTATTGTGTTCAAAGTCTTTTCATGAAAGGACTCTTCTCTTTATTCAATCATTTAAAAGTATATATATCATCAAAAACAAAATCTCGAATAAAGGAAAAATGATATGCTCGGCACAAACGTCGATGCCCGTTTTTGAAAAGCATCTTTAACCCATTACTTCATGAGCATTTTGTGAAAAATGGCTGTTTTCGTTGAAAAGTCTCCCGTTACAAGTTCAAATTGCTATAAAACTATATAAACTACTTCAATACTAATCAAACTTGACACAAATGACTAGACCATTCCCTTTGTAACGACATGCTCAGTCTCAAATTTCCTGTTACCATGGCAACGAAGGGACATCTCAAAATTGCCCAAAACCACTATTTTGCGTTGATTTTTACCATCAAAATTGATTTCAAAGTGCTGCAACTTCTCAATGGATTGAGAAAGTGTCAAAGGTTTTTCAGCGTTGGTTACACGTTACCTTATAATCGACCTGGGGTCATTTTTAGCTTCTCACAAGTGTAAAATTTTCTTGGCGATGAGTGGGGGACTACCGGTCCCCTTCAAATCCCCCAAACAGACAGAGGCAAATCCCCCTTCTGGCAACCCCCTTGATGTATCTTTTAGATGGGAGGCGGGCCAGAAAAAGTGGTCACTTTTTAAGCAACATTTCTCAATCAAAAAAAAATTGGTAAAATTAAGGCGTTTTTCATCATGTAGGGGGATGCAAAAGGCGTTAAAAGGCATGTATACCCGGTAATGAATTTGCGCATGACAAGTAATAAATGTGCCATAAATTTATTCCTGGCTGTTTCACTTTCCATCAATGTATGGAGGAACTGATGACCGGACACAACCATCAAAGTACTTTTTTATGAAATATTGCCTATAAAGGCAAAGTATGATCTTCACCTTTTAACAACTTGCATGTTGTCACTGGTTAACTGTGAAGTTATTTTTAAATCTGCAACTGAATGGACACGATGTACATTTAACGAACTATCAAATCATGCCTTTTGACATGTAAATGTTACCTTGATATTAACCAGCAAATATATTATTATTATTATATAATATATTAATGCCAAGTGATTTTAAAATTCATAACTGAATGTCAGAATGACAGAAATGGTGATCAAACACCACAATTTTTAACTTTAATATGCACTATGTTCAATTTTAAGTGTGACTTTATTTTCACATTATCACCACATGTAACTCCCTTACAGTCTTGAACAAAAGACCATATAAATAAAATAATTTTAGTGTGACCTTGACCTTGAGCAAAGGGCAGCTGGAGATCATTTTTGTGCCAGACACGTCGTTTGAATGTGCAAAACCGTTTCCTTTTTTCAAAGTTACCCGTTGTAAGTGTGTGAAACATATCAACTTGATGTGCTAAACAGTATTCGTGATATATCAAAACTCATAAATGAATGACTGGTTACGACCTCACATTGACTTTAGCGTGAAAGTTTGATCTGACCTAAAAGCTGTAGATCTGAATTTTGGAATGACCGATCGTGACAAATTATGCATTTGTAAGTAAATACATAGCACGACTTTTGACACAAAAGTATATTTTCGGCCTTTGAGCTGCAGACCTGATTGTTGCCCGCGACATCATGTTTACAAAATTAATACAAATGGATTGATTTACATGACACGGCTATCAATGCACTTTCTGAAGCTTACCCTTTAAATCTACAATTCTATTCTTTGAGTGCCACACATCAGCTTAACTTGCTCGGTAAACAATAAAACAGTTTGATCGGACATATATTATTGCATTGACAAATACACACATTTATTTATGCAGAATTCTATCATACTCATTTTTGCATCTAATTTAAAGAACTGTGTTTACAGCAACAAATGAAATATAACGATTCCTGTTTCTTAAAGCTTTACCTAAATCCCTGGGAGATAATGATTCGTTCTTTGTTCTTTGACACAACTGGTTATTTTGGTGTTTGTTTTCTGAGTTTTCTGCAGCATTAACAGCTGAAAACATAAAAAAACTTGCCGAAAGCATATAGAATAAATGTTATGTAACCAGTCTTTATAAAAAATATTAATCCATCTCTGCATCTTCAAGGCCAAGGACATTATTTGACGTCAAAGGTCAAATTGTGTTGGATAATAACTTTGCCATAACTTAAAAGACTTTCACTTTATATGGTAAATGTCTATATCTATATCAGACTGTGTGTCATGCGCAAGACCTATGTCTGCAATGTCAATGTTGGACTTGGAGAACATTGATTAAATTGTGTTTGTCCATTATTAAGCGCCGCTTGCAAGCGGCGTCTAGTAGACATGCGTTTGTCCATACAGCAATGGGGGAAATTTTAGACTTGATTTTGTGGGGTTTTTTTGTGTGTGTTTTTTTTAACAAAACCACGCTGTTTTCAAATTTTCTAATAAAAATAGCTATTCTGGTGTACAACTTGTCACAGAGCATTAAGCGATTAGAATAAATGTTTAACTGAAGTGATAGTGCCACGTTTGAATATCATATTCTTTTTATCATAACCTTATTTTATCTACATAATAAATAACGTGCCAATGAGCCAGTCTATAATCGATCGTTTTAAAACTAAACCGTTGACTGAGGAATCGACTGAGGCAGTGTCTCTACTTTATTTGCTCCGCCTCTGTTGAAGTTCGGCATTGCCTTTAATTACCGCCAAATTTAATATGGTGCTCAGTATGCTAGCATTTAGTCTTAGTTGACGGGGCGGAAGGGAACCAGGACACCTTTGATAATTATCACTTATCGAATCATTAAATTACAAGTTACAAAGCCTAATACACGCCCATTATAAGAGAGGCGATCCCCCCTCAACCGTTCAGAAAGTACGCACCGTTTACGCTACAGCCAGTAAGGGGAGATCACTTCAGAACACTTAGTCCATAAAATCATTCGAACATTATGCAATTCGTACCAATATTTAAATGGACATATTTTCGGCACATATTGTATTTATTTTAAGTATACCAATCATTTCAATTTTACTCATTTTGCTTTGATTAGACGTTTTAATCTTTGTCGCAATAGACAAACATTTAAGAATTTCAGACATGGCATTACTTTTGTGATTTTATGCATTAGGTTTCTACTTTTTCACAAAAATATGCAACTTAATTATTAAACAACGAGCACATACCAAGAACATGGAGAGAAAATGATTTGTGCTTCGGATATTCAACTGTAATAGAGAACGAATTTCAATGCTGATTGACTGTTCACATCATTTGGCGGCGTCTTTGATGTGCAGCATCAACATTAAACTTGTCTTTTTTGGTTTATGTATTTTATTCCTTGATGTGTTATCGAAAATTTGACAGATGTCTTCATCATATGTGTCGCATGCACGACTCATATCTGCATCTTTAAACACAAAGTTATTATCTGAGGTCATAGGTCATTACCTTGCTTTATATCGTCCGAATGCAAGATTTTGATGTTTTGATTCAATATATTGTTATATATAATTTATTATATTTTTATTTTATGGTAATAAAACATCTAATGATTTTCGAACCTTTGATACCTATTTATAGAGCATTTATTTTATTGTTGAATTAATTTGTTTGTACTCTAGATTCTTTAGAAATACGTGAATCTATATTACACAAATAACTGCACACAATGTCTTAAATATATATAAGAACATTATCTTTATAAATTTTGATGTTTATGGTGTACATGTATAGCATATGAATATATTTAACTGCAGATTACAAATGATATATTAAGTTAATTAATTAACTTATATAATCAATTATTTTAATTGGTCAAACATTATGTTCATTTCATTTTGCATTAAATGTAAATGAATTTAAAGCTTACATTACGATAATGTTTATTCCTTAGCAAGTTTCAGCAGGGAAAGTATTCTTAGTATCTTATTCTGTCGATTTCATCTTATTCTGCCAATTTCGTTAGCTTGCACAGAACTGAATAAGTATGGTATACTATGCGAGGCACAAATAAGACCTAGATATTTTTTATATTCAGTATATTTATATTTATATTATAGATACCACCGTTCTGCATTAATAGTACTAATGTATACATTGTAGGACTGTGAAGTGTTGGTGTTGCATCTGATTTAAAATGTCTGTACTTTTATGCTGTGTAGTAGGACTAAATTCACGCAACTATCGGACATGTGGAATGATGAGAATATGACAAAAACTTTTCCTCGTGGATGAGTCGACAGAATAAGTTCCGGAAGACATCTTTGTAATGACGACTTTATGTTTGGGTGGTGTTGTGCTAGCACTTTAATTGGGGAAAACGAAACAGTAACACCAAAAGAAAACTTTTAACTTTTCGTTTTAAGAAATAAAATTAGCAAACAAGAAAAGTGAATAATAAACTCATATTTCATTTTACGATAAATACTAAAACTGTTTAGTTTTGAAAATCCAAGTTCCTTTTGCTTATTCTGGTGAAAATAGTTTTGTTTTACTTTATCTCTTTTATTTACTTTAGCCATTAAATATGCTTGAGTTTTTTTATAGTTCAATGTTTAAACAGTTTATGTTAATTGTCTTAGCTAATCATAATGAGCTTTTGGTTATGTAAGTTTTTTTAGTTATGTTAAGATTGATATATTTTAGTATTATATCAATTTATACATGCAAAGGACAATGAATGAAAATGAAATTCAGCACCTCTGTGTTTCAACATTTTATTTAATGTTTAACGTTTTAAAAGAAGAAAAGACTCCCGTTAATACTTATAGAAATATCGATTTCTTACCTTGTGTATTCTCGGAGTCTCCAGCAACCTGAAAACTTTCCCTTGTTCTATGTTGTAATATGTCATCTAAGTTTTCAACTTCTTTGCAGTCTTAAAGACACCATAACTCATCATATCAAGATAAAACTACAGACCTAGTTAGATTACTATATATTATGTATTTGAAAAAGAGAATCATTATGAATTTAAACAATTTTCTGTGAAATAAATAATAGTATGATTATGACATAGACTGTTCAATTTAGGAAATTTACAAGCCTGTATTTTTATATAAAATTATATATGGATTGGAAAATAAGCATATACACTTATATTGATTCCTTTCGATATGGGAGTTTCGTCTTTGACCTTTGAATCATTTTTTTAAATAAGAACATGTTGTTTAATGGACATTTTTAGAGTGCTACAAGTCTTATTTGAATTGCAAACCGATTCTTTGTGATTCTTTACAATAATAGTCTTATTTGTAAGATGCGCCTTAAAGTTAAATAAACATTATTAAAGCGGAAGATTTTGACATACCTTTGCTATTTGATTCAATATGTGGACGGACCACAGCAATGTGCCTTCCTTCTTTGTTTGCTTGTGGTGCTAAATCATTGCCATCAACGTTATGTCTACTGGAGTTATCTATAATAAAGGCTAAAATTTAGTTTATTTATCAAAAATTGTAAACAAGTTTTTTTCTCAAAACAGTTAAAGCATTTGCATTGTTTTATGTATTTTGTTATTTTTGATCGTCATGTTACAATCATATACAATATAATGTACTTAAAAATCAAGAAGATTTTGAAAAATACATCTGTTCAAGTACTAAAACTTCCAAAGAATTTCATTTTCTAAATTAAAATGGACTACTTAAATAAAAGTCTTTTATAACATTAAAAGATGGAAGCTGTTTGGAATTTTTCAATAACTAACATGTACATGCTTATTGTAGTCAGCGAACGCGATTGTCGTAAAAAAAAATATTCGTAGGTTTTATTACATCAAAATGTTGCTACATAACACATATATTAGAAATATTAATGATACTACCTTTATATTCTTTTATGTTTGTTTTATATACAACATCTCCACTACAACGTTTGGTTGTCTGGTTATAACACTTTAGACGATGACTTTCTGCAATCAATGCATATTTATAAAATGACTTCACCTTCTTAAATAATTCCTCGTCACTACATATTTAATCGTATTAATATCTTACTTGATAATTATTAAACCTTGAAAAACAACTGCACGCGCTATGGCTAATACCGGACTGCTGTATTACAGCCCTCGCAATGTTATTATTAAAACAAAACTGACCATCTACTATTCACTTTTACTTTAAAGGCATTACAAAACTAGTTTGTCTTTACGAACGTAAGTACATTACAAAACACGAAATTATCAAATCGGACGAAAACTTTAGCGCAAGCGTATCCTTCTTTTTTGTATACTTAGTATCAAAATCTACAGAAAAACAATCGGACTTAATTAAGTCCCTCGCCGAGTGGCCCCGGGCTTTACATGCGTCTTTTTGCTTCTACATATCTAAATGAACGGTCATAGGGTGTAATGATTCTTTTATATTCTCAGTGTATTGTGTATGAATAATTATTACATATAAATGTAAATTTTGTTTTTACTTGATCTTGTCTGACTTTAAGGAGAGTTCAAGAATATCTTACTTAAAACCATTTCTTTGCCATTACCATTTCCATTATCTTGGTTTTCTTGACTATAGTCGCTTGACATTTCCCAATCACGTTCAACTTTACATCTCCGAGATCTGAAAATATAATATCGATTGTTTTAAGTTTCTTATCATATATAGATATGTATTAAATATAATGTAAATTATGCTTGTAAAAGTAATGCCAATAACAACTATAGTGCAGATGATGATGACATTAATAACAATTAGAATAATAATTACTACAGTAATAATGCATTTATAATCTCCCTTTTTAAATAAGGCCTAAGAAAGTTATGGCATATTGTATGCTTTTATAATACAATAAACTTTACTTGCCCAATTTACAAATGATTGAATAATTCAATTACTTTTCTCTGTAAATGATCACTACCACTGATGCAAAAGCAACAACAGCAAGGCAAGTACCTATTATCACCAATTGCATTGTGTTTGATGTACCACCGCTGTCGTCTGTTAAATAGAAAACATGCAGAACTGTTACGTTCTTTAATTATTATTACTGAAATACTGAAATTTATCTTATGCATGTTAAGGAACCTTACCACTCAATTTACTTACGACAATGAATAAAGAATATTTCAACAGTTGATATAAAATACAAATACGGGAATAGGTTCTTTAAATGTGCATTACGTGGTGTGACTTTGCTCTGAAGACATTACAAAATTGTAGATAATTTATCGAAAGCATTCCGATAATTTCGATCTCTAAGTTAATATACACTTTCTCAGAAAATAAATAATAATAAAATGGTATCTTGTATCTCGTGGCCACGAGATATAACTAAAAAAATTCGCGATCTTGTTCGGCCAATCAGCTTTTTATTCTACATTGTTGCCATTAAATAATTCTATAGGCCGCCATCTTGGCAAGAATGTGTATTCGCACCGAAATCAACGAGCGCATTTTTGAGTTTATTGGTCCAGCTAACTCGTTACGACGACTTAGATGTTTTCATCTAATTGGTCGGCTAACTCGTGGCCATGCAAAAGCAAATTTTGTTTTTAGTTGTTTTTTTCTGAGTTATAACTCGTGGTCACGAGATAGCAAGTTTTGTTATTAGTTTTTTTCCGAGTTATATCTTGCGGGAACAAGATAACGATTTTTTTTCTGAGTAATATTTCGTGGCCACAAGATAGGAAAATAAAATAAAATCGGAATGTCCCCTCTGTGCTTCCGTATATGAATACCCGCGGTAAACTAATAATATTTTATTCTGTATTATTCATTCATCGTAACATATTACAAGCCCGTAGGCTGTTTATGGTTAAAATATAAAAACCATTGGTGAGAAATTTGAAAGTTTAAAATGGATTAAGTATTTATTTAGATGATTTTATTTTAGACCATGACGTTTTATAAATCTAGGCATGATTGAAATAATTCACAAAAATCAAAACAAGCTGATTAATAAAAACGACACTTTATGAATTATGTTGAAGTCTGCTTAAACTTATGCTAGGGGGTCTTTTTTCTATTTTAAACGGGGTCGTTCAGCAGATGTTGTTGCAATGGCATGCGGACCCATGGGCATAGTCGTTGGTCTATGAAGATGAAAGGCAATTTTAAAAATATAGGCAAACTGACCTTGACTTTTGACCTTCCAATTTTAAACTGATTTAGTGTCCATAAATGTTAGCACATATGCTATTATATCAAAATTAAAATCTTTAACATAAAATGGTAAGATTAATTGTCCATAAGGATGGACCTATAATAGTTTGAGGTCATGATGAAATTCATAAAATTTATAAGGTATGTAATACACCTTTACATTGTGTACAATTGTACATGACATGTTGCTTATATCATTATTGTATTTTTGATATTCATTTTTACAGAAAGATTCTTTTTTAAAAGCACTTTACTTATATTTGTTTCAAAAGATGGTGTCCATTTTGAAATCAAAGATGACCGCCATGGTAGTCAAAGTGTAATTCATGTTTAATTATTAGCCAATCATTCCTAAAAGTATCTAAAACTTTATTCCATGTGAATTAATGGGCACACACCTTTAAACTTTAAAATGTACAGTCCTGGTAGCGCAGAAAAGGTTTCAGCGTACCTGAATTATGTAAAGGACGATTGACTACCTGCTGTTACTAAAAACACCGTTTGACTCTTTATGGCGCGTATTTTCTGAAAATAACCGTCTATTGTAAGTATTTCAATATAACGCCTCTTTTAGACTTTTGCTTTGTTACGTTGGTTATCAACAGTAACAACGATATTTAGGTTTAATAATTAATGTTGATCATAGTAAAATTTTCCTTTTTGTCTGTTTTTTGGACATTTTATTTAAGAAGACAAAGCTTTTAAATTATAAAATGTATTACCACTACTATCTTGAGAACCATTTTTCAGGTCGCAAACAGCGTCTTTGTATATTGTACAGTTTTCTTTATAAGCATCACAAACTGTACAGTTTCTACAACTAACGGTTTCGTTGAAAGTAACACATTCTGGTTGGTATGTTCCATTCAGGCACTCCTCACATTTAGTACTAGTAAAATTCCCAGGACAGTCTTCTATTGCTATGAAACCAGGTTCACAAGGAAAACACTAAAATATTAAAGCAAAATGGATGTATGTTTTGATTAAGGAAAGATATTAGATATGCTATATGCTAATCTTCAAAATATTACCGATTTACAATGGTTCAAACAGTGTTCCGTGATACTGCAATAGCACTGTACTATATAATATGTTTGTTTTATCAAATTTATCTTACCTAGAACTTGAATATGGTCTTATCATTCAATCATACCTCGCTCGATTTCTTTACAAACTTATTCATATGTTATGTCGAAAATAATGGCCCTGGCACAAGAAAGGTTCAAACCCCTTGACTCGTGTGTAAGATGGCAAACATCGTAACAAATACATTATCGGTCTATAAAATAAACTTCCTTTATGTAATATGATTGATATTTCATCTTACCTGTATTCCTATCCCGTTAGTGTAAGTGTTGTTACAGATTTGTTAGCAAAAAGCTAGGCTTAAGAGAACAGCGATTATAATACCATAATAAACGGGAATTGTCATCATTGTCTGAAAAAAAGGATATCATAATTTATTATTAATGTGATAATTTCATGACTATTTTTTATTGAGTAACGAGATTGATACCTGACTTATAACCTTCTACTTCAGTGAGAAACTACCTTTACCTACTAACCTACCTACCTACTTACCTACCTTACCTACCTACCTACCTATACTCAACATCACTAATTCCATGTCATCACTTATTTCACGGTAATGGCATATTTACATGTGACCAGTGTTAAAATTTGTCAAAATTGACAAATTTTATTCAAAGACCTTAACGACAAAGTTTTTCTGCAAAAATATATTTTAAATCTCTAGATTTTTACGTAAAACAGAACAACATATTACAAACTTCTGCAAAAAGCAACAATAATCCGTTAAATTTTGTGGATACGCCTGAAACAATCATCATTTTCTAAATGTTCTTGTTTGTTGAAAAAACAAATGTTGAGTTACAAAGTAAAGATAGTTATAATATCTTAAATTAAGCAAAAAATAGCATGTAGAAATTTTAACTGAAACATAAAAAACTGTCATAAAACACCATGGTCATAAGGTCTATGTCTGGCCCATTTAAACTAATTTTGACTGAATATATTGTTGTTTCCTTGTGTCATACAGAGGAAAATACCTATATGTTACAGCTTATAACAATTTTTGTACCATACGTTTCATGCGTTGTACTCTTTCTTGTTTCTAAGCGTTTAATACCGTGAACTAAGAAGAGCACAGTCTACCTACCTACCTACCTACCTACCCTACCCTGCCCTACCCCAACCCCAACCCCTACCCCTACCCTACCCTACCCTACCCTACCTACCTACCTTACCTACCTTACCTACCTTACCTTACCTTACCTACCTACCTACCTTACCTACCTTACCTACCTACCAACCTACCTTACCTGCCTACCTTACCCACCCACACATCCACCAATTTATTTAACTATTCATCAGTACTATTACACTTATATACGTAAAATTGATTACAATATCTCATTTATAACTCTTATGTTTTTGTCTGAAAACCATTCTTCGATTATATAGAACGGTGACCTTTCCCAAGGGATCCGAATGCATACCTACCGTCAGGTCTTTATATAAGCTTACTAATTCCAAAGTATGATTACAATATCTTATTCATAACACTTATTGTCCAGAAACCATTTTTCTATTTTTGATAACGGTTAACTTGACATTGTCCCCTGGGAGACCAAATGCAAAATCAACCCAGGTCTTCATATAAGCTTGCAAAATACCACGTTTAATTACAATATTTCATTACTAATTTACTAATTCTAGGTATTGTCCGGAAATCATTTTTCTATTTTAAGGACCGGTGACCTTGAACTTAACCAAAGGGGGGTCAAAAAAGCAATAACAACCAAGGTCTTCATATATGCTTACAGTTTATCCAGTATGATAACAATATCTCATTTCTAACTCTTTTAATTGTCTGAAAACCTTTTTTTCTTTTGGTATGGACATTGACCCAAAAGGGTTCGGATGCAATTCCAACCAGGATCTTTATATAAGCTTGCTTTTAATTCAGTTGGTTACATCAACTCATTTCTAACGAGGGTTATTTTCGGAAACCCTTTTTTCTATTTTAGTACGGTGACGTTGATTTCAGGAGGTCCAAATGCAAAACTGACCAAGTCTTCAAATAAGCTTGCTAAATGCAAAGTTAAATTACAATCTCATTCGTAACTCTAGTAATTGTCCCGAAACCTTTTTTTTTCTATTTTTAGAAACGATGACGTTGACCTTAACCCATGGATGTCTAAATACTAACATAACCCAGGTCTACATGAAAGATTGTCTAATACCAAGTTTGATTACAATATCTCATTCTTAACTCTAGTTATTGTTAGGAAACCATTTTTCTATTTTTAGTAACTGTGACCTTAACCTTGACAAAGGAGGTCCAAATGCAATAACTACCCGAGTCTGCATTTAAGCTTGCTTTATAGCAAGTTTGATCACAATATCTAATTCCAAACTCTAGTTATTTTCCAGAAACCATTTTTTATTTTGAGTAACGGTGACCTTGACCTTGTCCCCTAGGGATCCAATTGCAATGAAAAACCCGAGTCTTCAAATAAGCTTGCTAAATAGCAAGTATAGAAACAATATCTGATTCCTAACTCTGATTATTGTCCAGAAACCATGAACGAGACCGACCGACGGAAAGGCGGACAGACGGACCAACCGACAAGCTTATTCCTAGATACCCCCTAAACATCGTTTGTGTGGGTATAATTAAGTAAACGGCTTAACTGCAATGTAACTGCAATAAAGTAAAAACAAAAAGAACAAAAATTTACAAATAACAATATACACCTAAATTAGCCCCACCCTGGGACCTGAACC